CAAACTCTCCAATTCCTAATGCTCCAAAGTTTTCTAAGATCACAGTCCCAATACAGACTTTCCTCCAAATACACAAGCCAACTTTTGATACACTACACAGTATAGCATAACTAAAACATGTGTTGTAAGACAGATCATTTTCCTATTATTTTTTGATTTGCCCTTGAAAAGGCACCAGCCAAGTCTTACCTTTAATGTACCCATCAGATTTTCAATATTGTTCTTGTCAGCCGTTACTGCCTCTTCTTCACACAACTTAGTTTCATACAGTTTTACTAAAGATTCCGCTCCTTGGGTGTTCTTCAGCACCAAATTTACAGTTTTTAATCTGCAAAACAGTAACCTCCTGTTAACTGAACCATCAATAACAATGTTCAACACACCTGTTTTTCAGCCTTTTTGTGTTATGGGCTATCCCTTTATACAATGTTAAAATGTTAACTCCCTTTTCCTTGATCAGTATTACTCATACTAGTACCTTTAATTTATTTTAAAGAGAAAACTGTAAACTAAAACATGTATGATGGGAGATGGCCTACTACATACTTATCTATGTAAATGGAAGACATGGAATAAACTTGGTTCATGTTCTGAATAACAACACTGAGCTCAGAGCGCAGAGTAGGTACTGAAGGTGAACCAGCAGCTTGACTGAAAAACTCTTCGCATTTATCTGTGATGACTCCCAAATCATCATTCAGTCGATCCAGTTCTTTCTTCAGTTTCTGTAAAATGAAAGGTGATTGACAGTGCTTTTATCCTACACCAACCTGATGTATACTCTACATATCATTATCAGTACAGGTCTGCTCTCCGTTGCTTGTTTCATGTGAGTATCATTAAAAATTTTTAAAAAGGAATGTACGCACAACAAGGAAACTAACAGTCTCACCATTTATTGGCATCTTTTTTTCTCGCAAACACAAGCTTAATCTTTGACTCTTGTCTTTTCAAGGTGCATCAGCAAACCTTCCTGGCAACACTCGAAACGTCTGGATTTATTTGTTTTAAAATAAAACTCTTAGCCTAGGTAAAATAGCCTTTCTCAAAGGCTCACCTCTTGCTCTGAAATCCTAAACACACTTTCATGTAGATCATCCCTCTCCATTGGGGTTCGGATCTGCCGTATTAACCGCTCCTCACAACTCTCCAGTCGTAGTCTGATATTTCTGACTTCAGAGATGTATAGATTGTAAATAGATTCTTCCTGTTCCTCTGTTGAAAGAAACAAGGCACATGTCAGCAAACAAAGCCATCATGGCACTCTCACCATGTCTTCTCATGAAACATTTTATAGAGTCATCATTCGACAGGTCTTTTCATAACTGGCTGAAATCCCATCAGTTTCCATTGGAATTCTGGCTATAAGGCAAATTTTAGGAACCCTTGAATTTTTGCTATTCTCAGATCACCTCCACACACATGAAAAATTATCATTCATCTTTGATCGTTCATCTCAGGTACAGGCATCACCCCTATGCAGACACCACTAAACTCAGTGACTGATTCAGTCAGATGATACCACGCAAAATACTACAGTAAACCTCCAGGGCTTTTGCTTTTTTTTTTTTTTTTTTAAATCCTTTTTTTCCGATGAATGGGGAAAA